CCCTACTGAGGAGACAAAATTTGCAGTAGCTCCATCAATCACGGGGTGTTTTATCACAGGATTTCCCAGGCTACAGCACTTTCAATACGGACCCGACGTGGTGTGAGAAACATTACTGATGAAGGTATATGTTGCTGAAGAACATAGCGATTCATGTGCTGTAAGCGAATAATAACAGATAGACAAAGTGGACTGCTGCATGGCATCGGCGTGACGTAAAACAAACGACTCGAAGGCCATCAGCAATATGGAAGGACACGATGTGAATTTGCTACGGTTAATTTCAATGCAAACTTTCATAATTTTAATGTTCCATGATATCTTACATACTTTGCTTTTTAGGCGTTTTTGCTTATTTGCAAAAACACATATTGTGACGACCCCGGTGTGTGTGTATGTATATGTGTGTGTATGTGTGTATGTGCGTGTGCGTGTGTGTGTGCGTGTGTGTGTGCGTGTGTGTGTGAGTGTGTGTGTGTGTGCGTGTGTGTGCGTCTGTCCGGGTATTTCAACTCGGCACCCAAGCAAGCTCCGGCGCAAAATTTTGCGAGTGGGTTTCCCGGCCAAGTGCCACCCCGGGACTGCGGTACCAATCCTCAGGCACATCTAGACCAAGTGTACGAGCGCCTCAAAGTTTTGGCGGGAAAATCGTTAACTTGGAAACCAGAAAAGCTAGAAAGCTGAGATTTTGGGATTATGTCCCCCGTATATATAGAACTCAAAGATTTTAAATTCAGCCGCCAGGTGTGCGCGTTTCCCGCATACGGTCCCGTGGGGGTTCTTGGCGCGAAAACCGCTAGCTCGGGCACCAAGAAAGCTGGGGACCTGGGATTTCAAGGGAATGTTCCTCGTTCAAGTAGAGCATGGATAACTAACTTCCCGAAATTCGAGGACCAGTATGTACAAGGAGTTTCTAGCAAGCGGAATTTCAAGTGATCTTATTACAGCACGAAACACTGCAAAAACTCATGATCGCACGGGCCCGCCGGTGCGCATCGCCAATGATTTTTATGCGTTTTTGCCGTGCAGCGCTAGAGCGCTGCAACAGGCAGCAAAAACGC